TAATGTACAGAGAAGTTGTGTCGTCAAGACAACAAAACCTCACAATCAACGATCACATCACAACATTACAAATCTAACAATTCACAATATTATCTGAATTCTCTTCTGTTTAATCCTCTCGCTCTAATTTTATACAGACATTTCACAAGCGGTCTCATAACATAGTACAAACTTCAAGTTTCCCACACAGTAACTTAGTGTTATTACTCTCATATTTTACTCAACTATCGCCTAACTTACTCGAATTTCTCTTACCAATTTTTTTCTACAAATCGTTTATTTGTCAATACTTTTTGTATAAGTAGGATTATTTTATTATTTTCACTGGGAATGCAATGCGCCACTAATGGAGCATGCGCCAGTTATGGAGCATTTGCCAGTTATGGAGCATGTGCCAGTTACGGAGCATGTGCCAGTTATGGAGCATGCGCCAGTTATGGAGCATGTGCCAGTTACGGAGCATGTGCCAGTTATGGAGCATGTGCCAGTTATGGAGCATGTGCCAGTTACGGAGCATGTGCCAGTTATGGAGCATGTGCCAGTTACGGAGCATGTGCCAGTTATGGAGCATGCGCCAGTTATGGAGCATTTGCCAGTTATGGAGCATGTGCCAGTTACGGAGCATGTGCCAGTTATGGAGCATGTGCCAGTTACGGAGCATGTGCCAGTTATGGAGCATGTGCCAGTTATGGAGCATGTGCCCAGTTTACGGAGCATATGGCAGTTATGGAGCATGTGCCAGTTACGGAGCATGTGCCAGTTATGGAGCATGTGCCAGTTATTGGAGCATGTGCCAGTTATGAGCGGCATGTGCCGTTATGGAACATGTGCCAGTTATGGAGCATGCGCCAGTTAATGGAGCATGTGCCAGTTTATGGAGCATGTGCCAGTTATGGAGCATGTGCCAGTACGAGCATGTGCCAGTATGGAGCAATGCGCCAGTAGGAGCATGTGCCAGTTATGGATCATGTGCCAGTTATGAGCATGGCCAGTTATGGAGCATGTGCCAGTTATGGAGCATGCGCCAGTTATGGAGCATGTGCAGTTAGGAGCATGTGCCAGTTATGGAGCATGCCAGTTACGGAGCCATGTGCCAGTTATGGAGTATGCGCCAGTTATGGAGCATGTGCCAGTTATGGAGCATGTGCCAGTTATGAGCAGTGCCAGTTATGAGCAATGTGCCAGTTATGGAGCATGTGCCAGTTATGGAGCAGTGCCAGTACGGAGCATGTGCCAGTTATGGAGCATGTGCCAGTTACGACATGTGCCAGTTAGGAGCAGTGCCAATTATGGAGCATGTGCCAGTTATGGAGCATATGCCATTATGGAGCATGTCCAGTTATGGAGCAGCGCCAGTTACGGAGCATGTGCCAGTTATGGAGCATGTGCCAGTTATGAGCAATGTGCCAGTTATGGAGCTGTGCCAGTTATGGAGCTGTGCAGTTATGAGCATGTGCCAGTTATGGAGCATGTGCCAGTTATGGAGCATGTGCCAGTTTATGGGATGCATGTGCCAGTTATGGAGCATGTGCCAGTTATGGAGCATGTGCCAGTTAGGAGCATGTGCCCAGTTATGGAGCATGCGCCAGTTATGGAGCATGCGCCAGTTATGGAGCATGCGCCCAGTTAGGAGCATGCGCCAGTTATAGAGCATGCGCCAGTTACGGAGCATGTGCCAGTTATGGAGCATGCGCCAGTTATGGAGCATGCGCCAGTTATGGAGCATGCGCCAGTTATGGAGCATGCGCCAGTTATGGAGCATGCGCCAGTTATGGAGCATGCGCCAGTTATGGAGCATGTGCCAGTTACGGAGTATGTGCCAGTTATGGAGCATGTGCCAGTTATGGAGCATGTGCCAGTTATGGAGCATGTGCCAGTTATGGAGCATGTGCCAGTTATGGAGCATGTGCCAGTTATGGAGCATGTGCCAGTTATGGAGCATGTGCCAGTTATGGAGCATGTGCCAGTTATGCAGCATGCGCCAGTTACGGAGCATGTGCCAGTTATGCAGCATGCGCCATAGGTTGGCCATCACTGCTGTAGACAGTGATAAAGTCAAGACAGTCAGAAGACCAGTGTTTACAGTCACAACGTTGTGCCACAGACACAGCCTCATCACAGCGATACAACTACAGAAAAGATGCTTCTATAAACATCTCTCTTTATCAACACTAAATGAGTCACACAGGTTTAGCGCTTCATGAAATACGGTGCAGAAGAATGAACCCGATTGTGACTCAATCTAGAATTTTGCAGCATCCAAAAAAAAAAAAAAGTCAAACGACTTTATTCTCCATTGTTTGTTGTTGACGCATATGAGAACATTAACACTGGTAGTTACACTAACACTGGTAGTTACACTAACACTGGTAGTTACACTAACACTGGTAGTTACACTAACACTGGTAGTTACACTACATCAATACTAACACTGGTAGTTACACTACCTCAACACTAACGCTGGTAGTTACACTACCTCAACACTAACACTGGTAGTTACACTACCTCAACACTAACGCTGGTAGTTACACTACCTCAACACAACACTGGTAGTTACACTACCTCAACACTAACACTGGTAGTTACACTACCTCAACACTAACGCTGGTAGTTACACTACCTCAACACTAACGCTGGTAGTTACACTACCTCAACACTAACACTGGTAGTTACACTACCTCAACACTAACACTGCTAGTTACACTACCTCAAAACTAACACTGGTAGTTACACTACCTCAACACTAACGCTGGTAGTTACACTACCTCAACACTAACACTGGTAGTTACACTACCTCAACACTAACACTGGTAGTTACACTACCTCAACACTAACACTGCTAGCTACACTACCTCAACACTAACACTGCTAGTTACACTACCTCAACACTAACACTGGTAGTTACACTACCTCAACACTAACACTGGTAGTTACACTACCTCAACACTAATCACTGGTAGTTACACTACCTCAACACTAACACGGGTCTTTAGTGCCTGGTTGTTAAGTTAAATCACAAGCCAAGGAACACATCGACAGTTCTAATGGTCAAAGCAAGCTCTAAGAGAAGTTTTACGAGTCCCCTTAATGTTCTCACCAACAATATTTACAATACGTATATAGTGCAATAGAACAATAGCGTAGGCAGGTATTATGCAAATGATGATTACAATAAATGAGAAACACAGTGAGGCTGTCCACTACTTGTTGACTGATATGTAATTTAAAAGATACCACAATATGTGTTCAATCGTAGCAATTGTGAGACGAAGTTGAGCTTAACCTGAATGGCTGATATTTAAACTAGTAATGAATTCACAGCTTAACTGTGGAAACTACAACTATACAAGTTATAACTGACACCTTGGCTGATTAGAAGAAATGCAAGAAGTGGTTCTGTGATGAACTCCGAGTACAATGTAACACTCGGAGTTCTCTACACTGATGTTGTGGTTACCCAACCTCAAAACTAATTCAGGTTTCACGTGAAACAATATCAAGTATCTATTTAGGGTCCATGAATGTGCATTTCACCCACCTCTGACTTTTCTGCTTTATCTCTGTTACTCTGTTAAATTCCACTATATTCATACGCCAAGAAATTATCTAAATTGGTGCTGCTCTCTATCTGTACTGTCAGTCATTATCTTAGCATGCATGTCAGATATGCAGGTCTCTCTACATACTCGTGTCTCCATCTGCTGCTGTTTGGTGGTGGGCTATAAACTACAGCTACTGCTACCTTGGGTCCTCGTAATTATACTATATATTTTCTGATCTCGCCATTATGTGTCCGTCAGAGCTTGTTAAAGCTCTCCCACACATCCCTGACAAATAGTGCCACTCCTACACGTCCTCTGTTTCCTGATTGGTTCATTACTCGCTTCCTATACATGACACCCGCCTACTAAGTAGTGGATTGTATGGTACCTAGATACATATAATGAGCAGAAATACATATTTTGAGCAAGACGGAATATCGTGGCAGCCCTCTTATCCATGTTCTTGTTATGTGTCAGAGCACAGTTACCGTGGTAGTACTGAATACATATTTGGTGGTGACAGAGATTGTAAGAACCTGACCCTCCTTCCACTCATCTATAAAGATAGAGGATTATATTATCTTCATGCTTCTTCATTGGTGTTCATTATCGTCTAAACCTTGTGGACCTCTCAGATGAGTGCACTGGCAGAACAAAGCTGTATCAGCCTTCTGATAACTGGCTTTATCGAGGACTGAGATAGTACCAGAGTATTACCGAGGCGTCTAGGCACCTGATATACTCGTTAACCTCAAGTGACGATGAACACGACCAAGTGTAATCAGAGAATTAGTGAATTTTCTGTGTATAATTCCAGCGGTGTAGATTACACTGGTCTTCATTTGGAATATTTTAAATTTTTATTTTTATTGATGGTTGTGATCTTACATATTCTTGGGTTGCTGATTGTAAATATCTAAATAATTTTGCTTTATCACATAAGGATTTTGAATAAAATATAAATTAATGATAATAAAAAAATGTGAAATTTTAATGAATTGTTAATTTATTAAAATTAGGCAAGTAATCATGGAAAAGCACATTTTTAGTTTTAAGAACATATGAATTCCTAATCAATATGAATCAAATCAAATTATTTTATTAAACAAAATGCTCCTAATGGTTAGCCTTTATGTTGAATCAAAGGAAGGAGGACTGCTTTGATTTTCGCTTGTGCTGTGCATCGAGACCATTACGTTTCAATGACCAGCAGTAATCCGCCATCATGCTGACATTCCTTTTGCCCTGGTATCGAGTTTCCATGGTGCAAATATCATGAAGGAACCGCTCTCCTTGTTCCTCACTGTAGTCCCACAGTTGTTGGGAAAATAGTCAAGATGTGAATGCAAAAAGTGCATCTTCACACTCATTCTAGACCCAAGTTGTTGGAAACTTGAAATCAGGTCTTGAATCATTTTTTTTTCCAGGAAGTTATGGACAATCTACCAGGATGAAAACTAGGTATTCACCTCGACACCTGCTAATGCTTTATCAAAATGCTTGTTCTTCAAGCCTTTAGCTTGCCGTCACTTATACGAGGAATCTTTGTCTCCAGGTACCTGAAAGCAGTTCCATTCTTGTTCAAGGCCTTCACAAAATTTTTCAAAAGCCCTAATTTGATGTGGAGTGGTGGCAGCAGAATTTTCTTGGGGTCAACTAGTGGCACAGTTTACACCTTGTGATTTCCAGGTAAGAAGCTGGTTCATGGTGGCCAGTTTTTTTTGGTTCATAGTGCTGGCTGTCTGCCCTACTATCCCAAAGACACAGAAAACATTTTAATTGTAATATACCACTTTCCCATTTATTTATGTTATACGAAAACAAACTATAAAGAAAATTAGACATTTTAAGTGAAAACAGTGATTGGACAAAGCATGCTAATAACAATTTTGTAATTAACTTATCAGATGAAATATTAGATAAAAATACAACTGCTGCTCTAGGTTTTGGTCTAAGTTTCGCAACTTCAAAAAAACTTAATAATGTTGAAATTGCAAAAGCCTTTTGTAACTTTGAAAATTTTTCTGATTTATCCTCTGATGAAATTAATATTAGTAAAGGAATGGTATACAGCTCTATGTTAAAACCAAACATTCCCAATTGCCCTCAAAGATTCTTTAAGTCTTATGATACACTTAACAATAATAAAAATTTGCGCCTTACTAAAGCAGACAAAATAAATGCAATAGTAATTATGAAAGAAAATGATTACCAAGAAAAAATTAATAATCTCTTAGATGATACTGAAACCTATTCTAAACTTAGAAAAAATCCCCTAGAAACCGTTAACAGCAATTTCATAAAACAATAAAACTTCTACTGAATGGCAAAGATGAATTAGTCAAACAATTTACTTCCACTAATCCATCTTTACCTTACATGTATGGACTAATAAAAACACACAAACCAGGGAATCCAGTCAGACCAATTATTAGCTCCATAGGATCAGTTTCATATAAATTATCCAAATGGCTTGTTGATATTTTGAGCCCTATTGTTGGCAAAATTTCTAACTTTAATGTTAAAAAAAACAGATTTAGTTGATAAATTAAGCTCCTTGACTGACTTAAATGATTTTAACATGGTTAGTTTTAATGTTACTTCCTTGTTTACGAAAGTTCCTGTTGATGATTTTATTAAGTTTCTTATATAAAGAACTCGTTAATTATGATTTACCATTGCCAGTTCCTACTATCATTAAACATATTAAACTTTGCAGTGTTGATGCAAAATTTGTATTTAATGATAAGTGTTACACTCAGAAGTTTGGTATGGCAATGGGGAATCCTCTTTCATCTGTTCTTAGTAAACTATACGTGGAATTTTTTGAAACAAGATTGCTTAACACAATCCTCCCTAATAGAGCTAAATGGTTCAGAATGTTGATGATATTTTGTGTCTTATGCCCAAGAATATAGATATACACCATTTCCTTAGTAAATTAAATAGCTTAGTCCATTCTATAAACTTTACTGTTGAGTTTGAAGAAAATAACTCATTGCCTTTTCTAGATGTTTTAATTATTAAGGGTAATAATGAATTCAAATTTAAAATTTACAGAAAACCTACAAATAACTGTTCCTATGTACACTATTATTCTTCGCATCAAGATAGAGTCAAACTGTCTGTTTTCTCATCAATGTTTTTGAGAGCTTTACGTATTTGTAGTCCAGAGTTCATAGATGAGGAAATATCCAAAATTTACGAAATAGCTAATGATTTGAAATACCCAAGAAACGTGATTGATAAATCTTTTAAAATTGCTAGGAATACTTTTTACAATCCAAAAAGGGACAACCAGCCTTATTCAACTAAAAATATGTTGGTTCTCCCTTACCATGAAAACTTGGTTGAAATGCCTTCTCTTCTTAAGACTTTTAATATCAAAGTTGTATTTAAAAATCTTGATACAGTAAAAAATAGCTTTTGATAAAGAATTCCCCCCAAAATGCTGACGGATGTGTCTATAAGATTCCTTGTAAAATTTGCGATAAAGTTTATTACGGTCAAACTGGTAAAAGTCTCGAACTAAGATTAAAACAACATAAATATAGCATTAGAACTGGACAAGATTCCAATGCTCTATTTATTCATGTAAGAGATTTTAACCATCCAATTGATTTTCAAAAAGTTGAGAAAGTAGTATCAAGCAAGTCCATGGTCGACAGGAATATAATTGAATCTTGTTTCATAAAAAGCAGTTTTGACAATAATATGAATATATCCTTTGGTTTATATAAATTAGATCCATTTATAATTAATAGAATTTGGGAAGAATTTAATAATACATTGGATAAATAATAAATTTAAAAATTCTTAAATCTTGGGTAGAATAATTTGTTTGTGGGTTGTGTGAAGGACCTGTCTAGTTTGGCCAGCGGGCCTGCTGCAGTGTTCCCTTTCTTATGAGTCGCACGTCAGGTGTTGCTTTGTTGTGGGATGTGATAATGAGGTGTAGTCTAGACCCTTTATATGCCTTCCTTTGATGCATTACTTTTATTGTTCCTTGATAATGTGAGTAGTCACGAAAGCGCTTGGAATTTCTCTATTCTTTCACAGTGGTTGTTTGCATATTCTGAAATCACCTGTTTACTGTAATCTTATTATCTATCTATCTATCTATCTATCTATCTATATATTATATATATATATATAATATAATATATTATTATATATATATATATACATATATATATAATATATATATTATATATATATATATATATATATATTTAATAATAAATTCACAGTCGGCCGTCTCCCACCGAGGCAGGGTGACCCAAAAAAGAAAGAAAATCCCCCCAAAAAAATACTTTCATCATCATTCAGCACTTTCACCACACTCGCACATTATCACTGTTTTAACAGAGGTGCTCAGAATACAACAGTTTAGAAGCATACACATATGAAAATACACAACATATCCCTCCAAACTGTCAATATCCCAAACCCATCCTTTAAAGTGCAGGCATTGTACTTCCCATTTCCAGGACTCAAGTCCGACTAAATGAAAATAACTGGTTTCCCTGAATCCCTTCACTAAATATTACCCTGCTTGCACTCCAACAGATCGTCAGGTCCCAAGTACAATTCGTCTCCATTCACTCCTATCTAACACGCTCACGCACGTTTGCTGGAAGTCCAAGCCCCTTGCCCACAAAACCTCCTTTACCCCCTCTCTCCAACCCTTTCGAGGACGACCCCTACCCCGCCTTCCTTCCCCTATAGATTTATAAGCTTTCCATGTCATTCTACTTTGATCCATTCTCTCTAAATGACCAAACCACCTCAACAACCCCTCTTCTGCCCTCTGACTAATACTTTTATTAACTCCACACCTTTTCCTAATTTCCACACTCCGAATTTTATGCATGAATGTTTACACCACACATTGCCCTTAAACAGGACATCTCCACTGCCTCAAACCGTCTCCTCGCTGCTGCATTACCACCCAAGCTTCACACCCATATAAGAGTGTTGGTACTACTATACTTTCATACATTCCCTTCTTTGCCTCCATAGATAACGTTTTTTGACTCCACATATACCTCAATGCACCACTCACCTTTTTTCCCTCATCAATTCTATGATTAACCTCATCCTTCATAAATCCATCCGCCGACACGTCAACTCCCAAGTATCTGAAAACATTCACTTCTTCCATACTCTCCTCCCCAATTTGATATCCAATTTTTCTTCATCTAAATCATTTGACACCCTCATCACCTTACTCTTTTCTATGTTCACTTTCAACTTTCTACCTTTACACACATTCCCAAACTCATCCACTAACCTTTGCAATTTTTCTTTAGAATCTCCCATAAGCACAGATCATCAGCAAAAAGTAACTGTGTCAATTCCCATTTTGAATTTGATTCCCCAAAATTTAATCCCACTCCTCTCCCGAACACCCTAGCATTTACTTCTTTACAACCCCATCTATAAATATATTAAACAACCATGGTGACATTACTCATCCCTGTCTAAGACCTACTTTTACCGGGAAGTAGTCTCCCT